TTCGACAAAGTCTGGTTAGATGGTTTAAATTACAAACTAGACCAAATACTACCATCAATGTATACTCGACTATTAAAATCATATCTTTCTGATCGATATTTTAGAGTAAAATACGAAAATGCTTATTCACCAATATATGAAATACGAGCCGGAGTTCCTCAAGGAAGTGTGCTTGTCCCAACATTGTACTTACTCTACACATTCAACCTTCCTCAGGTACCAGAAACTTTAACAGCTACATTCGCAGACGACACAACGATCTTGGCTGTTGCAGAAAATGAAGTAGTTGCAGCAAATAAGTTACAATTGGCATTAAATTCAATAGAAAACTGGACCAAACGATGGCTAATAAAACTAAATGCAAATAAATCGACATACATAAACTTTACTTACAAGAAAGTAAACTATGTCCCAATACACATAAATGGCAATGCAGTCCCTTACGCCGACACCGCAAAATATCTTGGTATGACGCTGGATGCCAAACTCAATTGGAAAGCTCACATCAAAAAAAAAGTGAGGAACTTGATATCAAATTTAGACACCTATATTGGCTTATTGGCAGAAAATCAACGCTATCACTAAGAAACAAGTTGTTAATATACAAACAAGTATTAGAACCAAAATGGACATACGGAATCCACCTGTGGGGTTGTACCTGCAAGACAAATGCAAGTCTGATTCAAAGATTCCAGAACAAAGTACTAAGATGCATAGTAAATGCACCCTGGTATATAAGAAACACCGACCTCCATCGCGACTTGAAAGTAGCATCGGTGTCATCAGAAATTGCATCATTTGCATGTAAACATGAGAAGAGAATGCACGATCATCCCAACATCGAGGCCATCCAGCTTCTCGACAACGAGGATATCCTGCGTCGCCTTCACAAGATGAAGCCGTTCGATTTAGTGACCTAGTGCCCTAGTCGATTCAAACGCGAGCAATAGTGCGGAATTATAACAAAAACAACGTGTTCCGCGTATCGCAGTGTGCGCGTTTTGTGTTTTGGTCTTAAAACGGTCAAAATATGACAATATTTATCTATTATTATGGGTAAAGCAGACTGGACCACTGAGAAAAGCTGCAAAACATTATCTAGTTTAATTTAGTGTTAAAAATAAGTAACTAATTAGTATGTATGTATTTACTAGGTGTTATGCAATTGTACTATGCATAATATAGGAAAAAAAAAAAAAAAAAATATTAAATATGAAGAAATATTTTTAAGTTACAAAAAATTTAAATATTAAAAAGTGTTGGTAACAATGTTTTTTTGAAGTTTTGAAATAGGTTATATTTGACGTTTGAATTGTCATTATTGTGATTAGTCAATTATAGAAGTTAAAAGAGTTGTACTATCTGCTAGAGAAATTTTACTTTCTGGATATGATCTTGATCCTACCTTAACTAAAATAAAAAAAAACTTTTTACTATAATACACAGTGCTTTAGAAAAGTAAAGTGTTGTCTCTTTTTTTGTGTATAAGTGGTGTTCTTCGTACATATATCTTTCCTTATATCATTTGCGTCTTATTTCAAAATATCTTCCAAATATTGAATCTATAGAATCAATTTATGTGGTTATGCATCACATTTTACAAAATACTCGTGAACACATAACCTCAACGAAGTCGTTTTTCGATTGTTTTTGTGAAAATAGCTTGTTTAAACATAAAGTTAAGTATAAAAAATTATAATTATAATATAAAATATCAAAAAGAAACATCTTTTTTACAACATAAAAAGCGATTGGTTTCATTTCAACTTTAACAACACTCCAGGTTATTTTTGTAAGTATCAAAACTCAATAAATAAATAAATATTAATGATTACATGTCATGTTTCATGACCGTACAATTATTTTTTTAATAAAATATGGTTCAGATTATAGTTAGAAAAGGAATAAGAAAATCAATATTTAAAGGGCGAGCAACTACACGATATTGATTGAGCATATTTGGTTGCCTACATAGGTTAAAAATATTAAAAAATGTTATCTCCTTTGGTTGAAGTTTTAAACAATATGAGAGTTATATTGGCGACGAGTTCGAAACAACGTATCGATATCTTTAAGAAAACTGTAATAACTTTAGAATATGTTAACAGAAAATGTTATAAATCAACTTTGTTATAGCCAATTAAATTTGAAATAAAAACGTCCGATTTTGAAGAAAATTTGGATAGAAATAAATACACTTTTTCGGAATACGTAGAATTAACAGCTTTGGGAAAAGTACAAAAAGTTTACGAACAATTAAAAAATGATGATAAACCACCAGATTTAATAATCGGATTAGACACTATGATATGTTGTGATAATTATTTCTTTGGAAAACCGAAAGATAAAGATGATGCCATTCAAATTATAAGGAGATTATCCTCAGGATCTCCTCATACTTGCTTAACCGGCGTTGCTATCTTTTATAAAGGAAGATATACAAAATTTTGTGAAAGCACAACCATTTTTATGGAATCGTTAACCGACGCCGAAATATTATCTTATGTGGAATCTGGAGAGTCCATGTATTTTTTATATTAATGTTGAGATGAGAAATATATTTTTTTTTATTGTAGGGGAAAAGC